AAAGAAGTGCTTCTCTGACCCCGCGGCTTCTTACCGCGGAGTGTCACGCTGTGCCCAGACGATTTTAGATATTAAGCCTAATTCATGAAAAAAATTGCTCTAAAATTGGCTATCCATTAGAATATTTTGGTATTTATATGTATTGTTTAAAATGCGTTAAACTTAATATATACAAAAGAAAAGAAAAATTTAATCGAAAATTGAATGTTTTATACATAAAATTACATAAAAAATCATACTTTTAATAAAATACAAAATATATTTACATATGTTATGTAATTTCATGGTGTAATTATGTGCCATTATATGGAATATATAAATATAAAAGATAAATCTTATTTTGCTGTTTGGTATATTTATAAAAAAAAAATTCAGTACACAATACAAAGTCACATGCCTTACATATTTGACGCTTCACGCGAGAGTTTGAGCAAAAGGTACATCTTAGTCCTTTTTTTTTTACTTTATTGTCTATGTACAGATTTGGATTATTTTTGCTAACATTTCTGCTATAAATAAAAACTGACTGAATGAAACGAACAGCTGAGAACATTTGCTTCCAAAAGCCCTAACCCCATAAGGGCCATAAATTCTCCTTCGAACTTCAAAGAAGCAAGCAACATATGCTTTAATTAATTACCCTCCTCCTGATATTTAGAATTGAATACCAATCCCATATCACCAAGGTCAACACTCCAAATAATCTATCTATATAGATTTCGCGGTATTGTAACGCCATATAGTAACATTAAAAAAATCAATTAAAACGTTCTCATCAAGCGTATCTCTATTGATACGTTGTGCTGTAGAAGGCACTCGTGGAGCGTATCGCCCGTGGTACACTGGGCATAGGTGAGCCAACATGAGCGTATCGCTTATGATAGGCTGGGAGCGAACAGGTTAATGTGAATTATTACATTTCATTAAATTCAAAAGTAACTGTCCTTGAACTATGAACTAAAGTATAGGAAAACTTGTTTTCAATAAAATCTTTTGAAAGTTGAATGCATTCTAAATTATGAATGTGGTAAAAATTGTCTTATTCAAAACTCTGTAGATAGATAACTACTCTTATGTTCATTCGAAACCCTAATGGTGCATGGGGAATAATTATTCCGGTAAACTAGTGCACATACATATAAGTGCGAAAATATTTTGAGCCAGTTCTCCAACAGGATATCATAGAATATAACTTCTTTTTGAGAGTAAAGAAACATTATCATTAGCGATAACAACAAAGAAACCATATCCATTTGGGTAATGAGATTTCACTCAGTGTACACACTGATTATAGAAAGTACTTTATATGTTTGCGCCTGCTTCCCACCATGACCATTGTAACAAAGAGGTGATGATCGCGGACATACGGTAGACTTTACTTTCGTTGAGTTATGGGTTCGAGCCCAGATGCTGCTAAAGACCTGCCGCTTAGCGGGGCTGATACACCTTATTTCTAATGGAGATTCCAAGTCCTCCCGTTCGATAATGTGGAAGTTTAGAATGAGAGTGCAAGCTGAGGTGTCCTTCTCGACACTTAACCCTGTTAAATCAAAAATTACGTGGTCTGTCACCATTAGCTATCGCATTGCTTCTCAGTGTGACATTAATAAGAAATCACATCAAATTACTTCCCTCCACTATAATTCGAAGATACTGAAAATATTCTATTTTGATGGAAATGGAATCCGTATCCACTGCATACATTTATTACTGGTTTTATTGAATGTGCAATTACAATTAAAGGTCCAAAAGATACATCTGGTGTATCAGCAACTAACAGTTGCTTAAAATGCATTCAAGATGGAAGGAAACAGTAAAAGTTGATTGAAAATAAAATAAAGATGATTCGAATTGTAAAGAGTAGCTATGGTATACCGAGAACATAAATTCCTTGTTTACCAAAGGTAGTAAACACCATGGTAGACGAAGAAGATCACTATGGTAACTTACGGTCAAGATTTCCGTAGTTTCATAAAGAAGATAATCCCCTCATGATTTTGGTGACTACATAGTGCTGTAAACATAAGGTTTTTGAGTCTAATAAGTGTTTTGAATGAGCTATTAAAATGACTTTTTTTAAGCTGGAATCTAAATAATTCTTTCTTTCTGTATGGGTGAATATAGGAACCCAAAATCCAGGTAATAACTTTACTTGTCTTGAGAGTTATATCCGAAGCAATTATTTAATTTTTTCATTCAAATTAATGCATACTTTTTAATACTTTTTTTAAAAAAAGATTTTAAGTGAATTAAGAGACTCTAACGAAAGATTGATTAGTTATGTAATATATCTAAATGAATACATAAATGTATACACAACGGGAACGAATCTGCAGTTCCAAGCCATTCAGGAACACCAGCAAAGAAACATACACGATTGCAAGAAATAAGCGTTCATGAAATTTTTTAAATTAATTATCAATCAAAAGTCATGAAGTCACCAATCACATTTACACTCGACCGGAACTAAAGAACTAATTTTGGACATGGTTCGTGTAAATTTCAAATAGAGCCATAAGTAGGGAAAATACATAATTATGAAAAAATATATTTCTTAAGCTAAAATAGGTAATGAAAACGTTACCCAAAAATATAAATAGAATCACTTGAAGAAAAATAATATAAATGTAAATTATAATAGAGTGAGAGAGAAATGATAACATAAATAGAGAATATAATAGTAACACCAGGAACGAAAGTGAACACAGTACCCAAATATGATGGAAATATCGATAGAAATTCTTTTTCGGTATTTTAATATTATGATATTTCTCAATTTATTTATAAGAGTTTATAACTCTTACTACAATATTTAATGAGTTAATTAAATTTCCTTCCACGCGTTGTTTAGTTATCTTAATGAACTGAAAAATTTAAGACTGCTTTTTATCAGCTTTTTGTTTCTCATGACTGTCATGCATTTAAAATGCTAAAGACTGTTTTGTAATTATTGTAAATTTTGAAATTTCTTCTTAATATTTTTGTGTAATATCTTAAATAATTCTGTGCATGGTGTAAGGATTTAAATTCATTTTTATGTATTATAAAATTAAAAAAAAAATAGTATAACTATTTTTTGCTGAGTTTTGATGTATCTGAGGGAAAATATTGTAAAACTATAGTCAACGCACAAGCATATTCACGCATCTTATTGTGAGAAACACTTAGGAATATTAGAAAAACTATTAAAATTCTTAGTAGTAGTATTTTTAACATATTGAACAACATTGTAATAAAAGTAAAATATTTAAATTATGGTTTATTTCAAAATGAATTTTTTTTCCGGAAAAAAACATTTTATGTGTGTTGAAATCGGATGAATAAGAACAATTTCTCATAAGTATCTAATTAAAAAATTCCTGATTGAATATTGTGAAGTTTGATCAAGATTTCTGAAAAGGGTAATAAAATACCATTTTATTGTCTTTCATATTTGAGTTACTCTTTCCACTTATTCCATTTATTAATAAAGATATTAAAAGTGTTCTGTACCTTTATTTCCGTACGATAAAAAGCAATTTGTCTCTCAATTAATCTTGTTTCTACTAATTTATTTAGTCTTATTTTATGGAAACATTTACTGCTATAATTTTTTTCAGACAGAAATAAAACTTTTTCAGTAACACAGATTTTCTTAGTGACTGCATTACAGGAAACAAATTATTGACTTTATGAAATTTAATTTGATATTGTCTTAAAACTTTTAAATAAAATTTATTATTGTATCCAGTGCAAATAAATTATTCTCGTACAGGAACATTATTACAAATTTAAATTATTAGATAGTTTAGAATTCTTCTTTTATATGTATTTTAGATGGTTTCACATATTCTTTATTGTGTTTTACTTAACTGGGTTTAATACCTCTAATCTTCCGCATAACTGCCATTTTGATTTAATGGACGCAAAGTTAATCTTTTGGAATTTCAACTGCATCCCTCAAATCTTTATATTATATCCATTTGAATGCAATAAAATGTATTCAAAAGAGCATGCGATAATGATGGGTTAAGCAGAATTACATGTTTCTTTCGATTTACAAAGACATTTTTATTCCTATTTGAATGATTCTTTTGAGTGGTTTTATATCAATAAAAATCATTTGATCGGGTTAATGGAAGTAAAGAATGAATTGAATCGCATGAATCGAACAATTTCTCATTCAAATTCCCTTTCATATTGAAATCAAGATATTACGGTTACAAGTCTACAAACTGAACCCACAAGAAAGAAACATAGATATTTTTTCTTAATAAGAAACAAAATCTCTTTTTTCGTGTAATGATTGCGTTTGCCTTCTGACAGTGAGACATATCTTGACATAATGCTTTACCTTTTACTCTGTTTGCTTTAAATATCTTAAGCTATATGCACAATATTTAATTGAATTAGTAAGGGAAATTAATACATCAATGCCTTGACATTTTACGTGAAATTTGGTTTACTCCATACATACAATTTTATTAAACTTCCTTCGTAGGTGTTTGCAAGGATAAGAGTTTGTAAATCATTTGTATGCACATAATTGGACAATAGAAATTAACTTGAATGCATTAACCGTTGAATCAAACTAAGGGCGCACATTTGAAAAGCAGAATTCTAAAACTAAACCAACATTGCTTAAGGTGAAGCTAAGCTTTCTTCACTTCCAAGGATTTTCCTAGACAACGGACGGAAATAAAGTTAAAATTAAACAGCCTGTAAGCCACAAATCAAACCGGTGTCACTCATACAGGTAAAGAACATTCTACCTCCACACACCATCGATGCGTCATTAAATCGATAGATGTAAAATGTTAGAAACACTGGTACAGATTAAAAAATGGCTGTTAAAATTAGACAACATGCATCGACAGTTAATCGAACCCGGGACAGTGACGTGGAAAATGAGCATTTTTCCACTAAATTACCGAGGGTTCAGCAAAGTGTAAGCTCTTGAATTTCACAAAAAATTTTAGACGGTATAGAGAAAAAAAGTTCGAAGTTAAAATTAAACTGCATGCATCGACCGGGAATCGAACCCGGGCCACTCACTTGGGAAACGAGCATTCTGCCACTAAACTACCGATGCTTCATGAAATAAAGGAAAGATCTCTTGAAGACATTTTCTGGGAAACACGGGGGAAAAAAGTTCATTTATACTGTACAGTATGCTTCGAACGGGAATCGAACCCGAGCCACTCACTTGGAAAACTAGCATTCTACCATTAATCTACCGAAACTTCGGCACATAAGATTTGCTCTTCCTTTTCATAACAGTTTTTAGATGGTATAGAGACAAATTAGCTAGACATTAAACATCATACACGGACCGGGAATTGAACCCAGACCACTGATTTGGAAAACGATCATTCTACCACTAAACCACCAACTCTTCTTGAAAGAGAAAGAGAGTGTTAGCTCTTTCTCTTCCAGCAATTTTCTGGGAAATAAATTTCATTAAAATTAGATATCAAGCATCGACTGGGAATCCAACCCGAACCACTCATTTGGAAAACGAGAATTCTGCCAATAAACTACCGATGCTTCAGGAAACGCTAGAAATATATCTTCAAGACATTTCCTTAGGAAATACAGTGAAAAAAAAAAAAGAAGCTTGTTAAATTTGGACAGCATGCAACGACCGGGAATCGAACCCAGACCACTCTCTAGGAAAATGAGGATTCTACCTCTAAACCACCGATGCTTCAACAAAGCATTATCACTTTCTCTTCCGGTCAATTTCTAGACAGTGCGCAGAAAAAAAAGACGCTAAAACTGAACAGCATGCATCGACCGGGAATCGAACCCGGGCCACTCACTTGGGAAACGAGCATTCTACCACTAAACCACCGATGCTTCCGCAAAGCATTAGTACTTTCTCTTCCGGTCAATTTTACACAGTGGGCAGAAGAAAAAAAGACGCGAAAATGGAACACCATGCATCGACCGGGAATCAAATCCAGGCCACTCACTTGGGAGACGAACATTCAACCACTAAAACACCGACGGTTCATGAAAGACTTAGCTTTTTATATTTTCCATCATTTTTATATTCTGATCTTCAATTTTAAATTGTTTTACGTAGAAACATAATAATACTTTTTCTTGTATTTAGTATTATATAACTCATGAGATTTAAATGGCATTAAATTTCTTATTATCGACTAACTAATCAATAAAATACACTTTTCTGCAATTTTTTTTTCTTAAAATATTAATTATTTATATTTTAATCTAAAATGAGTTTTTAATATTTTTTCTTTAATAATAAAAATTTTGTTTTCTGTCTAAAATTTTAAACTATGGTAACGCATGCCGTATAACATAGTCATTTAAATACTCAAATAACTATTGAAAAAAGTTTTCTCAAATGGGGACCTTGAATCAAAAGGCTATTGAGTAACCCTATTTAGTACCTTAACCATAAGAGTCATAAATGTTTATTATTTATATTAATGTGAATTTTATTTATTTATTTTTAAATGACAAGAGCAATATGCACTCTAATGTATTAAATTCTATAAAATCGCTGACGAATTTTATACCTGAAAAGAAATATGGTTGCATGAAATATATTTTGTGCCTAAAAGCAGCGTTTACAAATCGAAAATCATTCTCTTACAAAATACAGTGTGTATCCAAAACAATTATCAGAATCTGAACCACAATACTTTTTAAAAGAGGCATGCAAATGAGACGGAATAAAATGCAAATTACTTTCAATGTGCTAAAATTTAATCAATGATATTATAAATGTTCGATATGTTCTTCTCCACATGCAGGTACAATGTAATATCTAAATTCGCACTACTCTTTCGGAAGGTTATGACATTGACGGTTTCTACTGCACATAATATCCTGGTTTTCAGGTCTCAATATCTGTAAGTAAAGTTAGTACAAAAACACGTTTCTGCACTTATGCCGTTAAAACAAGTCATAAAAGATAATGTCTAAAAATCGTTGAGGTCATATGTGTAGGGTAGTATCTTATGGGTCCTACACACAAACAAGCCACCATTGTGACTGTGTAGCATTGATGAAATTTCTGTACATCTATATGTCAGGGAGGAGCAGTCCAGACATGTGGTAAAATGAAATCAGAACAGTCCTCATTAAATTGTGGGAAAAGTTGCTCCTGCAGAACACCTCAAGGTACGTAATGGTAACTCAAGGTAACTCCTGTCTAAGTGTATTCTGCCAAAAATAATATATCATATTTTTTTGAAAAAGAAATTATACACAATATATTGATATGTTTTGAGCATCATATGTTGTACGATTTTAATGAGGACTCTACAGTCTCCATATGTGTATTTAAGACAATTAATGACACCTCTGACATGGAATGTCGCCTCGTCAAGAGAAATTAACTACGTTAAAAATGCATTGTCTTCTAAGTTTCGTAAGATATGGCAAAATTGTACTCGTTTCTGTTTATCATCAGCATGAAGAGATTATACCAGTTATAATCAATGTCGTTTATACGCCAAATGCTTCCTTGAAACACACCAGACAATCATATGATAAATTACAAGTTTTCTTCTGGCACTAAGTGTTGAACTGTGCAGCCTACGCTGAAACGCTTGAGAAATTCTTTCCACCTGCTTATTAGAACAGGAAGGTAGGCCTAGTGATTTAAATTTATCTAATCTCCAGTTTCTTGAAACATTTAAACAAAAGGCGGATCAATCCCAAAACTGAGACGTAAAGCATGCTTCACTTTTAACTAATGACTTTGTCTTTTACTGAATTTCAAAACATAAAGCGCCATAAAGGTTTAAGTGGAGGCCGTCTTCTCTGTAGCGTCCGTGTTTGATCTCTCTGCATTTTAACGAGAAAAGCAATCATGTGACGATTACTTAAGCTTTTAGGTCACATTTTGTCTAACGACATAGCTTATATTCATAAGATCGTTGTTGTTCCCTGACAATTTAGAACTGGATTTCTCTTTTTGATTTTGTATATTGAGGTAAGCACATTTATTTTATTTTATCTTATAAACTATAACTTTACACTAAATGTTCAATAAAAGTAATTCAATAAATAATCATATTTAACCCTTTATAAAACTATTATGATATTAACACAACATTGCAAACGTATAGGTAAAACATAATTTATGTCAAGAAATATATACTTAAGACTTCAACTTTCCCCATCGCGATTCATCTAGTTATTGCACTATTTGAGTCCCTTATCTATAATCTTTATATAAAAACAATTCTACATTTTGTCTTCATAGTTGAAGACATTATTATTGAGAAAACAAGAATTGTATTTGATGTTAATGTGTTTCAACATAGTCGTTTTCACTATTTCCTACCGAATTTGAAGAAATTATATTAACGAATTCATTACCAAATTAGACGAATTCTATTTAATTCATACTTGCGAAAGTATTAATGTTTTGAAATTTAAAAACCTATCTTACTCCGATAAACAGCAATGAATTTAGAATTTAAACGAAGAAAAATATTAAATTGGGTATGCAAATGAAATATTTTCTGTTTTTTAGTACTTTATGTACATTATTCTCTTTGAATATCTAAGTAGCTGAAAGAAATTATTGGAATTAATGTTTACACATTTAGAAAGATTTAAGTTAATTTATAATGTCTTCTTTAAATTAAGATAATTATTTCAACAATTTGTAAGACCTATTTTAAGCAAGTTTATAGTTCATTTTCAAAAGGATAAAATATTTTCCAAATGAAACATTTTTATACGTGGTAAAACTACAATGAAAATGTAATTTATTATCTTATTTTTACAAAAGAGTTATATTGTGTTAAGAAAAATTTGTAACAAATCTTAAGATAAGTAATCCTTTTTAAGATAAAGATTTGTCGGTAAGTTATAAAGAAGAAGTTTACGAGTTCCAAAGTGAGACTAACAATCCAAGAAAGCATTATTGGGAAGTTGAAATTATTGTGCGCTGTAAAATATATAGGAATCTTCTCTACTCTGAGTGTTGGGCCACAACTTATTGTGTTGAAACATTTTTCTGATACAGTTTTACGAATAAATTGTTGAACATAGTTGTAAGTTAAATACATCTATTAATTAAAATATGTTTTCTGTCATATATTGGAAGTTTTATTTTCGTGAATACGTAATAGCGTTGAGAGAACTTATTTATAAAATATTCTAAATTATGATAATCAAATACTTGTTAGTGAATAAATAATTCAAAGGACTTTGGAGCCGGTGGCTGAATTTTACATCGGAAGTATTGCCACGCTATTTGGTACAGGAGTGTTTCACATAGTTAGAAAGCACGAATGGAGGGATATCAATATAATAGTAGTTGTCGAAGGATTTTCATTTGTCCATCGTCTGCTCTGAGAGATGCTGAAATGTCAGGGTAGGCACAATTCGAAAGGAAATAGTCGCTAGACCACGTTTGATATCAGATTCTATTACGAAAGTTGTAAATGCTGTGAGACGTACAAAAAGCAACGAATTTGCCATTATGACAGGATAGTAAAATGGCATTAGCAAAGAACAACAGTAGATAAACATCTAAAGCTTCAGAACGGGAAAAACGATGGTTGAACCAAAAATGCTAGAAAATGATGCTAGGTATACCATCTAAAACGATGAGAAATCTCCAAGATCCCGTTCCTCCTATAACTTTGCAAAGGGAACTTCACACTCATAAGGACTTTGAGTGAATGTCATATTGTAAGGTACTAGTCAATACATTTAATGCTTACATGCAACGTAATAAGGTGGATATCTACGATTCTGGTTACTACTATTATGGTAGTATGTAATATGGTCTGTTCAATATATTATTACCCTCCTTCAGACTACAAACTACTTTTTATTGGTGGATATTGCTCAGAAATACGTATAATCCATCCTGCCTCCTGTTTTCTGTAAAGCAGGGAGGCGTCTATCTTGTGGTCTGGGGTGAGATACCAGAGGTACATATTCTCTATTGCATAGAAGAATAACATGCTACCAACATCAATGGATTTTGGCTGATGAACTTTATCTGATTAACCAGAACGTCTACCCTAGAGAGTAACTATTCATTCAAAACGGTACCGCTCTATCCATACCCCTATACGTTTCCAAAAAGGGTTGGAATAGCATGAGGATGAAACAGAACAACTCCTGTAATCACCATATTCCCCCTAGGTGAAAACTTTCGAACATTTGTCACAATGTTTTAATTTCAAACTAAATGGAAGAGCTTTTTTAGCGATATTTTGATTCCAAATTCCATGTAGGGTTTCCAATGATTCTCACAGTTTTAGAATTTGAGAATGCTCCGCACGTGAAATTGTTTCAAATTCTTTAAAATGTGGTGTGTTACCAGAAAGCGTCCATCCTAAGTCTAATAAAATCTATAATGCAGGTAAATAGTAAGAATCCTTTAAATATGAAGATTTTTCTAAGTTTCACAGGTAATCATATTATATATCTTCCACCCGTATATGTAACGAAAAATAATTTTCCCATAAATATATGGTTCTATAAGAATTTCAAATACAATTACTATTGATAGAAAGTACTTTTTTAGTTAAAAAGGAAGCATGCATGTATGATTAAATGAACACCAGCAACCAACAACTGTTTACCGTGAAGCCTTCTCTTTCGAATTCAGTGCTTTTCTTTTCTGTAAACAAACACGCATATCTGTAGGTTTCATTCGCATTAGTGTTATTTTGCTGTTTCGGGGGGGGGGGGGGGGTG